CACTCTGAATCTGCATCTTTGGAGGTTTTATTTATTAAATTATTTATTTATTTTGCATTTAAGAGTCGAAGTTTCACAGCATGATTGAAACATTCTGGCCACCAAGAAGATGCCTCTTAAGGCTGGATTCTCAGAGGGGCTGAGCAGCGGCAGTTCCCACTGGGGGAATCCTGGCCCCATTGACTGCAGTGAGGCAGGTTTTCCCGCACTGACTAACGCTGGAGTTGTGGGTGCCAATCGGGTCTGCAAATCAGGCCCTTGGGGCGTCCATACTCCCAGCCAGGCAGGGAGGCGGGAAATGTATGTGATGTCCTATCACTGAAACAGCTCTCTCTGACTGACAGGTGGCTTGATCAGAAGATGTGATGTTGGATGAGCACAAAAGCCACAAGAACGGCCCGGTATTTGTGAGAGGTTCCATTTGAAGATTTGTTTCCTTTCCGAAATAAAAACAGTGACTAGCGTGTGGAAAGCGTTGATGGGAGGGGAGGGTCATTCTTTTTGTAAATGGCCAAAAAACAAACAAACAAACAAACAAACAAACAAACAAACAAACGGTTGGCCAGCTGCATTCTCAGTAGTAAGACAAGCGGTGCATCTCCCTCTGAGCAGAAGCACCAAGGTAAACAGAGTCAAATCCAGTGGGGGGGTTGCATTCTGCCTCCTAAAATTCCCCCTGTGGTTTCCACTGGATACGGGATTAGTCTTCACTTCCTGTTCTATGGGGTTGTATAGTTGTCATGAACCCCACTTGGGCCACTGGTGGGATTTCAACCCATAAACAGTGTTAATGCTTAATCTCAAAGACTAAATCCAACAGCTGGAAGCCGGGGCAGACTGAGTCTTGTATGTGGACTAGTCACTAGAAGGTGATAAAAGCCCCACACCTACAAGCACGGGTTACATTGCATTGCGGCGTGCTGTTACACAGATACTGTGTCCCACCCCGAAGGCATGTCTAATTTGGGTATCAGTTTGTAACGCGACTTGGGACCCTATGGAATGAAAGACACTATTGGCTGTGTAAATTCTTAGGTGAGATGTGTATTAAAAATATGAATTTGACTCATAGTCTGGACTCCTCTTTATTGATTTACTTTGCTGAAGCTTGTAGCATTGATGTTCCCATTTTCTTGCTGTGATAGCCGAGAACGCCTCCAAGCTCCCGGCATGTGGTACAGCTCACACACATCCTCCATCACATGCGCCATAGTAAGCACCCCTTTGCCGTCTCAGATTGGATGGGTCTTTACAAATAGTCCTCTCATTATAAACCAGGGATTACCTCACCAGCCAATGGGCAGCCAGGATTCCCCAAGGTTCCAAAGCGTGTTCATCTCGCTCAGTGGTTGATCTCGCAAATGAAATTCTGATTGGCTGACTGAGGAGGAATGTTCCACTGGAGTAAAGGTGTGTGGGGGGGAGGTTTCTTTTGTAACAAAAGTCTGAGATTTTATTGTAAGGAGGTGGGGGAGATGGGCTTGTTACACACACAGACTTTGGGGCATTCGCAGTCCCAACCGAACATGAAAGTTTCAAGTGGCCCCTCCCTTCAGGAAGCCACCCAGCCAACCCCTGCTCCCAGCCTTCCGAGTGTTCAAAATTCAGATTTTGGCTTTTGTGGTTTCAGCCCCTCTTTACTTTGTGATGAATTACTCTTGTTGTTAGCGTGCTGGGGCGCTGCTAAGGATCCCGATGGGCCAGTGGTGTGAGTGCTAGCCACGTGCACTGACACAGAGGCGTTTTCACCCCTGCAGAGACAACACAGCTGTGGGAGTGTGAAACGTAGTCTGTTCTGCCTCCTGCACCAGCCCCAGAACCCACCTTTCTAGGCTCTCATATGGTGCCCGGTACTGTGATATCTGAGCATCGGCCAAATTCCCACTGTGGATCTTTATTTATGAAGGGAGAGGCAGTCAGACCCCAGCTCTGCTTAGCAAGTGGAGTTCAAGGTGGCAGCTGTTAGAACCACCTTCCCTTGACTTGTACAATGCAGCTACTGTGTTCTGGAAGCTGCTGAGAGAGCATGAACGCGCCCCACCATGGACCAGACTTTGCAAAGTGATCAATGCCCTCCACTGGGTTCAGACTTTCCAAGGGGCGCAGCTCCCATCTAGGCAGCAAACTAAAAACCTCGGCCCGTCAGCTGCACATGGGGTGCTGAGCCCTGGAGAATCTGGATGTTTTGTCCCCAAACTGGCTGCCTGGCCTTTGACAGAGTCACTTTCCCAGGTCAGCGATTCCGGGGGCACCCAGCCCTTAAGCAGTAGGAAACTCCAGCCTTCCCAACCCGACAAGCCCTTCGTACCTTTGCCGCCTTAAGAGTTTTGTTCCCTCTAGAGAAGAGGCAGCGGGATCTCTGAGGGAGCTTTGGGTCGGCTCTACATATTCATTTCTCCTGCGGCTCGTTGCGCCGCCTGGCTCTGGTATTTTCACGGCAGCCCGTCTCTGCCCCAGAAGAGGTCCCCATAGAATGGGTGGTTTTTCCCAGGCCCAAGGAAACAAGCTTTTAAACTACAATAATAGAAGAAGTGGTTACGAAAAATATTTGAGGAGACAGTGTCCAGGGAGGGAAATGTTCCAGCCCAGGAAGAAAATACTTCCCTGGCCTCTTTTTTTTTTTTTTTGGTCTGGCTGGAGGCATGAAAAGTCTGACCATCCCTCATTTTAATCCAGCTTTAGGCCACGGACCACCCACTGAGGGAGCACTCAGCCATGATATATCCTTGATATAGTATAAAATGCATAGAGAGTTTACAAGAGACTTAGGGCTTAGCCCGACTTCAGCTGGGAGGCAGGGGGACAAAAAGTCTCTTCCACCACCCCCCATCCCCAACCTTGGAGATTAGGTTTGTTTCCATTTTGCTTGAGCAGATCCACTGAATTCCAGCAGCCAGACTTTCCCAGCCGCTGCACCAGCACCCACCTCCCAAGGGCCTGACTTGCCACTGAAAGGCACAAATAATAACCAAGGCATGAAAAGATACATGGGGCCATATTCTGCTGCGTTACATCAGTGCACATCCAGACTAACGCCACTGCTGTGGTTGGAGTCACTCCAGATTTACACCGTTGAACCTGGGAGCAGAACCAGACTTTCAAACATACATGCAAAAGACCCGCTATTCTTAGCATGCCAAGTCAGGAACCCCTTTTCCCAATCGCTTCAAATTTTGCAGACAAATTCTAACTTGGCCTCACACCTAACCTACCAACTCTGGGGCCGACGTGACTTTTTTTGGAGCTTTTAGAGGTGTGCTGGGAAGCATCAAAACCAGCCCTACAATGGAACCTCAGCCGCTATCTGAACAATGGAGAAGCTAGCTTCCCTCTCCATGTTTGGGCTTTGGTAAGGTGAGCGCCATAACATCAGACAATCAAGACAGACTAATTCACAGAGAGGAGCTGCTGTGAACTTTACAGACATCCCAGGCAGCTCTGTTTCAATCAACATCAAATCCTGTTCCCCTTTGAAAGATTTATGATATGTCTTATTACGTAGGGCAGGATGGAGCCATTCCCGATAAGACCCGTGCCCAAATGACCACCTGCAAAGATGGAGAAGCCAGTGATCTCAAACTCGTGTCGTCTTTGTTTGTTTATGCAGGATAAAGGCGCCTGGAGGTTTGGTTTTTAAAAAAAGAAAATCCTGCTTGTGTTTTGTGTTAGAAAATCAATCCCTGTCCGTGTCTACCCTGAAAGACTCTATGGCAACGGGAGAACTTGGGGGATTATGACATCACAAGAGAATGGATCCAAGTGATTGAGAAGGGAACCATATTTAGACCCCTTGCCCTGCATCCCAAGAAAGCTTTTAAAAAGGAAAGAAATTGGCAGAGGCAGTATTCAGCCATGTAGCCAACCCTCACAGTTTAATCAGGAGTCTACTAGGTGTTTTCTCTTAAAGCCCAACTCCTGGAGTCATGGTTTATGTGAGAATATCAGCGTTTGTTTGTTTTTTTTAAATGAAAGTTTCCATCCCTTGTGGTTGCAGAGAAAAGCTGGAAAATGTGACCTCCCTAAGGGCTTGGCACCAGAAGACAAATATAAAGAACCCCAAATGGTATATTTAAAAAAACATCACACCCTTTTTTTAAACTAAGCTTGAGATTCTTTTAGGCGTCATGATTTTGAACACTCAGGGTTGAGAAGACTTCGAACCTTGAGTTAATTGTTGTTCGTTAGGTACTTAACACGGTTGTGAAGACTAGTGGGGACACACCACACAACTTTGTACTACAAAAGTTTGTTCATTGTGGGAGTGTTTAAAGTCCCCAGCTGGCAATCAGTGAAGACAAGGCCACCGTGAAATGAGGGGATGAAATTGGCCTTCCCCTGGCCCTTCCCCTTTATAACCCAGGAAGTGGAACCTAAAGCCATACGGTTCCATCTGCTCCAGCACAACACCTGTGGCTCACCTGTTCTTTGGCCAGGCCTCCCGCTCCGGAGCTCGGCTACGCACTCAGGTGAGGGGCATTTTGCAAGCCAGAAGCAGAGGGGTTTCTTTTCCTTTGCCTGTCAGCCTTGGAGAACCATTCCCCCTGCCTGAAACCTCAGCAGGGCTAGAGCTGGGAATGCAGCAGCTGCTCTGAGGGTGCTGGGAGGAAAGACCTGAATCCCCTCCCTTGGAAAGCCCCCTGGCTTTTGGTTTCTCTCTTCGCGGACGTATTCTTGCCCCACCTGCACTAATTCTGTGATGTGTCATTTGTGACTATTTTTCTTATTGTGATTTCCAGGAATACCATCAAAGGGGCCTGGCCATTGCACTCTTCACATCACTTAAAAATACCTCTGAAGGGCAGCAATTGAAGATATTACACACACACGTGCACACACACACACACACACACCGTTTTCCAATCCTCGAGGGGTGGGCTGGGACATAAACCATGCCCAGTGTCGTCGTCGTTGGATCCCGGCTAGTTCACACAAAGAGAGAGTGAATTCAAAAGCAGTGGGGCCTCCCCCTGAGAATGCCCAGTCCGCAGCCCCCTCCCCTTTATATCAGCCTGGCACCAGCTGCTGCTCTCCGCTCTGGCGCTATGGTCCGGGGCGAGGGGAAGGCAGACCCTGACCCATTTGGGGATGTACAGGTGAAAATCCGGCACCTCCAGCTGAAAGACCAATCAGTCACCCCTGCTGAGCAGCGAGCAGCTTTGGAGAGGAACCGAGGAGGTGGGATGACGGATTTGCAACCTTGCATGAATTAAGTCTCTTAATTTAGGGTCTGATTTTCAGACATTGAGGGGAGGAGTCCCGACGCCCAGTCCTCGCCTGTAGTTGCCCTTCCCTGTCTCATAGCCGGAGTCTGCCAGGGGATTGGTCTTATCCTGCTAGAAATGCAGCAGGGAGGGATAAATGTGTCCCCCCCACACCCATCATAGCAATGTAGGGCTGGAAGGGACCTCAGGACGTCAGCTAGTCCGTCGCCCTGCGCTGAGACAGGACCAAGTCCACATCAGCCATCCCAGACAGGCAGCTGTCCAGCCTCTTCTCGAAGCCTAAGGCTATGTCTACACAAGCCCTTTTGTCGCTATAATTTATGTCGCTCGAGGACATGGGGGGGAAAGCCTGTTCTCAAAGACTAACACAACCGCCCTTGGAAGCCTGTTCCGGAGCTTGGCTACCCGGAAAGTTTTCCCTAACATCTAACCTGACTCGGGGAGGGGGGGCAGGTTTCTAGGATCATTTTGGTCGCTCTCCTCTGGACTCTCTCCAGTCGTCCACATCTTTCCAACAATGTGTCACCCGGAAGTGGACAAAGGACAGGCTGAGGCCTCACCTTCAGGGGGGTCATTCACACCTTCCTGGATTACTGGACATTCTGGGACCGGCAGGGTCCTGCCCCCGTTGGTGTGACTCCATCCGCCTCACCGTGACTTCCCGTGCACAGGCCGTGCCAGGGCGTCTCCCGGGGGGCACCGTTCTGAGGAACATGCCACCCTGCCCCTGCCAGTGTTGTGTGAGGTGACGCCGGTGGGGGCCCACGCGTCCCCCATCTGATACCGGGATCCGTCTCAGTACTGGACGGGGGGCAAACGTTAGAAAAGCAGGACTGCCCGGTT